TGGGGGGGGGGGGGGGACTGGAGGATTCTTACTGGAGGTTTTTTCCACCGTGTACCGTTATGTTGAAATGGAAACTATGTATTAATTCAGAGTCTACATATTGTGAACTTGTGGATAAAAGAGATGTGATATTATAGAATTTAACAACCTAGTTATCAACTTAGAGGGGAGCAGAGTATAACGTTAATACTAATATTATATCCCTGATGTTGGTGTGAGAACCACATTGAAACGTTGAAGTAATAGATATACCAGAAGTATCTATCCATAAATTGTCTTATTTATCTATATCTTGTGCTTCTAATATGTCATTGGAAGATTATTTATACTAATGATAGACCACTTTCACACCTGTCTTTAACATTATAATACGTAATAATCCACAAGATAATATATCATTATATAAATAAATAGGTGATAGAGGCTATTTTGCAGGGCTTGGATTGTGTGAGGGTGTGTGTGTGGTGGGGGTAGTTATATAATTCCACCCCCCCCCCCCCTCCCCCCTCTTGTTGGTCGTCTTTCCTCACCAAACGGCACAATTCAGCATATACTCTATAAACCTGAAGGTATCGTCTAACCATTACTTTGGGATTTAACCCAAGCCAGAATACCGTATATGCTTTTAACACAAAAGATTTATAAATGGCAATTCAATCAGCGACAACAACTCTATTCATCTTCAGACGATGGAAACTCCACTCTCGAGTAGGATTTGTTTTTCTGCTTATTAGAATTTGAGTGAAGGTCAACCAGACGAAACGTCTGATAATCTATCAATGTTGTAATATATAAGACGACTGGATGTCCGCTAATTAGATTCTCCAGATAGATTCCATTACAGAAATCAGGAAGTTGATTCAAGAGACCCTCATATTAGCAGCGATATGAGATTATTTATAAAAGAAAGTGCCAAGAGGAGATATAAGTGATACAATTTGAGCGAATTTGTGTGGACATTGGGAAGCCAATATTTTTTTTCCAAAAAGTCATTGTCATTGTTTTTCTTAGAGAAAAGCTGTCATCCCATACTGAATCCTTTTCCTTAAAGTTAAATTTCTAGTTGGTTGCAGCGGTTAAGTATAATGATACCTTTTTTAGCTTCAGTGCTAATGCTAATTGACTTTCTTAAGCTGCAGGTTAAGGAAAATTGATTCCCTTTCGCTTCATATGTAAAGCTTATTGACTCTTTAGCTGCAGTGGTAAAGCTACTTGACTCTTGAGATCATTGAATCTCTATAGCCGCAGTGGTAAAGCTACTTGACTCTTGAGATCATTGAATCTCTATAGCCGCAGTGGTAAAGCTACTTGACTCTTGAGATCATTGAATCTCTATAGCCGCAGTGGTAAAGCTACTTGACTCTTTTTAGCTGTAGAGGCAAAGATCATTGAATCTCTATAGCCGCAGTGGTAAAGCTTATTGACTCTCTTGAGATCAGAGCTGAACCTAATATACTCTCTTCAGCTGTAGTGGTAAAGCCAATCGTTTATCTGTAGTTGTTAAAGGTAATTTTACTGACCGTATCAATCCACCAAGGTAGGGCTATTCACTATTTTGACTGCAGCAGTAAAGATCGTGGTTTTTTTTGTCGATCGCAATGATAAAGCTAATTGATTCTCTTTCTCTTCATATGTAAAGCTAATTGACTCTGCTTAGCTATAGAGCAGAGAAGTAAGTGGTTCAGTCAACTGTCGACTAGGTGATCAGTGATTGAACAATTAACCCCTAGCCTATAATTTAATAGATAAGAATACTGTATAACCATGTTCTGACAATCAAATTACGACCAAGAAAAATATGACTGACAGTTCATTTCCGACCGCCACTGGCAATGAGGAACTTATTCAGAAATGTGGCGAAATGTGACATCAGCAACATCAGTTTATTTCACATCTTTAGCTGAAGCTGCTGTTTGCAATGAGGAAAACTTGTCTAAAACATTATTATGTCGATCAATCCTAGTAACTGAAGTCAAGATTAGCGTGCGTCTCACTCTCTGAATCACCACCAGTAAGTTACCAACTAGCGGCTACCAATAACATACTTTCTCAAAACCATACAAATTGTGTTGTCATACGAGATAATATGCTAAATATCCGATGTTTTTCTTTTCAAAAAGACCTAGAGCATCAAATCATCAGGATTCACCTTCTTTTCACAGATGATATAATATAACATTAGGGTCTTCTTCCTCTTTATATCCATGGACTCTCATGTAATTTTATACTTCAAAAAAAAGAAACTGAACGTTTTTAAGATAAGATCTTCCAACGCAAAGGTTCTGACATGCTTTGAAAAAGATCTGACATATTTTCGAATAAATCAGACATATTTTTGAAAGAATTTGACATGCTTTGAAAAAGATCTGACATATTTTCGAATAAACCGGACATATTTTTGAAAGAATTTGACATGTTTTGAAAAGGATCTGACATATTTTCGAATAAAACGGACATATTTTTGAAATAATTAGACATGTTTTGAAAAAGATCTGACATATTTTCGAATAAACCGGACATATTTTTGAAATAATTAGACATGTTTTGAAAAGGATCTGACCTATTTGGAAATGATCTGACATATTTTAGAAAAGATCAGATATATTTTTCAAAGTATCTGACGTGTAATGGAAATAATTTGACATTGTTAGAAAAGAATCTGTACATTATCCTTAAATAGTCCCCCTGATTTCATGCAAGGTCGAGTTTGTTTCTTTTGGTATATCAGTAGCAGAAAATCAAGGTCTTAAGCTCCATGGCATGTCATTTCTACAGCACCTTGGAAGATATTTGTGCAGTGACAGTAGTAAGACATGACCAAGCTGCACTTGTCTTGAATCCTATTTATTAAGCACAGACGACATCTTAGACGACTTGACTGTTTTATGTCACTGAGCATTACAAATGTCATGTTATATCCTACAGAGGTTGGTGAAACGAAGTTACCAATGTTATTAATCGACTCTTAAGACGAGAGTTAAAATTGCATAGTATAAAAAGCAGGTGAAAAGATTGTCAAAAAAAAACCAAAAAAGGCAGGGTAAATAAAATTAAACGGAGTTTTATGGTATTCTGTTCTCTATCCATATAGGGCCAATGGAGCCGTGTAAGGCCATGCTGTATGCCCTGGGGAAATTTTGCGTCATTGACATGTTCTTTGTGCAAAATATGTCAAGGTGCTTGTAGACCACGGGGATTCAGTTCATTGTCCCAGGTCAGGGCTAAGTAACACGTTAAAATAATTTTATATATAACACAGTGTTATTAGGTCTAACTAACTTAGTATTTGTTGATTATGATAGATATATTACAGAATTATGGAAATTAAAGTAAATAGTTTCCTTTCAATAAATAAATCGCCAATTTTAGTGAGAAAATTTGACAGAAAATCAATTCTATAATCAATGGTGAATATTATTTTCGCGAGACGAAATTCTATAAACTTCGTGAAATTAATCTGAAACGGCTTAGAAGAGCGACAAGAATTTTTAAAGTGCATAATTTTTTATGATAGGAAGGCCAACGGCATTTTATTTAAGATTCGAATATACGAATATACGACTAGGGTGTCAGGGGTGTGGCCAACTGGCGTACGAGAAGAATTGTTTTGAATTGAGAGAGCACCTCACATCATCACATGTTGAAAATGTGGCTGAAACAAATTTTTGGGGGTGTGAAAGGTCTAGGTGATTGCTCCAAGGGTGTGAAGGCTGAGAAAGTTTGGGAAACACTGATTTAGAAGAAAGATACTCGCGATAAAGTTTGCTTTTGCGAAGGATTAGACCTACGCCATGCAGTGCGCGATGAGAGAAATTTTGCAAGGAAAGATGTATGGTGTACATATTTCTGCTCAGTTTCTTCCAACTTGCATAAGTTTCAAATGAAATGTCTACTCTAATTTCTAAAATGCCGTCAACTTCCTTTTGTCCAACAAGCCAACAAGGAACAAAAAAGTAGGACAGAAACTCAATTTTTTCTTTTTCTTTTTTTTTTTCGCGGCTTCAGATCTATTGAAGGCAATTGCCTACAGTCAGACTCACAGACAAAAGAATTAAGCGGACATTTAAAAATGATCTGTTATCAATAAAGCTTAAGGATATATCAATGTTCGGTGATCGACCGTGTCAAAACCTTGAGAAAGTGTTCAAAGTGAAAAGCAAAAGAACATAAACAACAACATGTAAATCAGTAGGCCTATAAATGTCAAGCGACCTTGACCTTTTCTGCATGTGATCAGACGACAATTGCCACCAGTAATAAGGTGTCTCGTTATGATCATTGATTGATGATTGATTGGTGAGACTAGTGTACTCCATCATCTTTATTGCAACTCGTCCAGCAGTCAATGGTCTCTACACCAGGTGGTACGTGAAATGTATACTACTAAGTACATTAGAATTACTCGAGGACTTTACGATCAGAAGTACATGAAACTCTCAGCAACTGTGGCATTGTTACTCTTGGACCACAGTGATGTGGTTTGCCTGTCATTTGACCA